AACGAATGTGAAGCTGAACTTATTCACTTACTAATAATATCAGTATCTGGCTGATTTTTAGCTATTGGCGGCGATCGTGGTCCATGTGTGGTGCCATTTCCTTGGCCTCTATCAGCACCTCGCCAGCGATCGTCTCACCCGCTCTGCTTTCCTTAGCGGTCGGAATGCTGTCGAAGCCGAGCATATCGCCGAACATCAGAGTAATCGACTGGTGGGTGTTATACTACTGATTGAAATTGGTAAACAATAGCATAATCGATCGCTAGTTATATGTTTGAGGCCTTTTTAATGATTGACAAGACGTTTAGCTTTTTTGCCCGTGCGAGTGATGTTCGACCATGTTTCGATCCTTCGGCGTAGTCTTTCCTTCTTATGAATTATTCAAAAATATTAAGAAATCATAAAGGTGGAGGTAGAAGCGAACGGATCTGAATTGTTAAAATCTTCCTCACCGTACGCAACATAATTGAAAGCTAATCCTAGTTTTATACGTTTCTAGTAGTCTCGTACCATTCAGTAATGACGTATTGATGTAGTTTGTCAATTTTCTGGCAAATCTCTAGATTTTTATGCATGACTCCTCGTCAGGGATTCGTCTTGTTACGTCGTCTTCTAGCGATCGTTCAACTAATTGCTAAATTCGCTGCCATCCTAGAAAAACACGAGTCGCGAGGCACTAATCCTTCTCCGATCCATAATGGATGGTTGTTCTGTGGTGAAGATCTGGAATTGCTTTAATCCGGCTATCTAGGGATTCTCGGGAAAATCGTGGTGGAACAACATCCATCGTCTCAATGACGGAAAGCATGTCACAGATCTTCTAGTCACAGCCGAATCTACCGGAAAGTCTAACCGTCTTCATGACTAAACGCTTTAGAACAATGAAATTACTAGGTGAAGGGTTGAAATTGGCACGACATGTCAGGTGTCTTAGTAAGTTTTCTCGTTATCAGTGTCGCTGGTAGGTTAGTGTCTACTGGCCGATTTGCTCTCTTTTTTCTTTCTCATCTATTCATCTGGATTTGGGCCGTAGATTTTCTGACATGACTGTAGACATCTGAGTACATGCACATTTTGTGCACAGTGACGTCATTGTCTAGAAATGAAATTATGAGTGGAACCGTTCGCTTCATACCTACATTTGAGCAACATCTCCACTTAGATCCTGTTTTTATTCACCACTGCAAAGTACGATTTTATGATAAACAGCTCTCGAAACATCGACTGATGAGTGGTATAGAAAAATATGACTGTTATATTTGCTTTGGAAGTTTTATATGCTTGGATTATGAATTAATCACAGTAGAACATTATTTGATCCTTGATTTCAATATTCTATCTTCGGTATTCTTGTTGAGTAAACGTGAGGTGTTACTTTATTCTTCATTCCGGTAAAGCTGACGTTTCGGCAGTATCGCCTTCTTCGATCTTCTCGATGTTCTGTGTGGGATCTATTTGAAATCCTGAAGTTACATGTAATTAACGGATTCCAGACGCGATTTTATGGAGTGTTCGGTTCTCAAACGACTTAAGATGCGAAGTAGTCAGATGTTTTATAAGGTTTTAGTACGGAGAATGAGTGGTCATAACCGATTTCTTATGTGGGATATGATGACCAGTGCATTAACAGAACTATCAGATCATGTTATATCCACATCTAGGTTAAAATAGAAGCTCTCGGCATTGATCAATCCCTGAGCGATGCCGCCCCCTTCCCTGAGTATCGTCGGAGGTGATTGAATGCATATCTGCCCTTTACAATTACTCGCGGTGACCTACCGATATATCGAACAAGTGCTGCTATCATCCCAGACAAGTCTGATACCAATTTACCGACCCCGGAGAGATGGAAAGCTTGGTGAGCCACAGGTGCGGGGATCGATTCTGTGTGTGTGTGTGTTGTCGCAGGGCGCCTCCAACCACTACGCCGTATGCGCCCTTCAGTCTAGGTTAGTAAAAACGGAATCATTTGCTTTAGTACGCAGAAAAACAACTGTGAAGATTTTGAAGAGAAAATTACGTTACCTTTACTAGAAGTCTTCAACATCCGCTCACGAGCGTCTTGATGTTTTGTAGAAGTTTACTTCTAACTAAGAAGAGGACCATCAGTAGGAATTCTATCCTACTATTTGTAAATATAGCACGTTTCCTGTCAATAAAACCTCTTCCGTTGTTAACACCTTAGGTGTATGTTAGAGCTCTTCAGTGGTGTGTCCTATTCGGTCATATTCTGTCATGCAGGAGATCTATTTGGAATACTTCCACATTTATATAGAGAATCCCTTCAAAATTCGGGACATTTTTTTTTCGTTGAATGGTAGAAAACTAAGCAGCTTGAAAGACGGGAACAGTAAACGAATCCCTTTAGAGCATAGCCACAGATGAAAGTCGGAGAAGGTCTACGAGTTGAAGGATTTTCTAAAACGTCCAGAAATTCTTGGACAGGAAGATCACATGCAAAATGCTATCTCTGGAGAAGCTTAGGACAAATCCTAGTTGAAATTGAGCCTGTGTCGATTCAAATTAAGAAACCCAGTGGGCAATTAAAGCACAGAATGTGGACTAGTGGGGAAAGTTTAAGATATGTCATGATTTAGACGAGCCAAAATACCCGATATAGGATAGGAAGCTTAAAATTTGTCCTAGGCTTCAATAAAATCGTAGTTTGTGAGTTGCTCTTGTGAATGCGCAAAAGAGATCTTCACGGATCACGGCAAATGTAATTAACCACGGAGATTCTACAGCCATCAAATGGAAGATGTTTGGATTTTCTCAAAGGAGTTAGCTCCGATTGTTGTTCACTACTCGCCTGCAGTTTTCTGACTAAGAGCTGTAAATTTAGGACCCTACTCCACGCGCAATCTGTTTACACAAGAAAACAACGACTTGCGTAAGTGCGAAATCTGTTTAATGAACGCTGCCTGAATGCTGTTCAAAATACTCACTTCTCCATCGTACAGCTTAGGTGAAGCTTAGGAAACTAAGCGAACCAGATCATAGAAAGAATCGTTTGAGTTTGATGGGTTCTGTATGCGTTTTAGATATTTAATAACTACGAATATAATTCAATCCTCTGGAAACATAGGTCAGTGTTTTCTTCTTGAGCACACACGGAGTTGTTAACAACAATATTTGTTCAATATTGATTGGCTTTTCGGCGCTTTCGCCTTTATCAGAGCCGTTTTGCCAATAGTGCTATTTCACAACTGTTGTTTAACAACCGTGTGCATACCTCTTATAAGTAGAACTACCACTTAACCGTTTCTCTATAGTTTCTTTGCCGACACCCAGAGTCTCCATTTTCAAAAGTGCATTGTGTTGTCGAAACCGTTTGCACCACACTGAGTATTGCAATCGTTCGGACATGAAGGCGAGGACACATGTTGACTGAGGGACATTGCGGTGTGCGAGAACTGCACGATACGTAAATATGAGCTTCGTTGGCGTATGTATGGATATATAAATATATATATGCATATATATACACATGTATACACATATACGTGGTACGAAGGGTGATCTGCATTCAGGGGTTTTCTGGGAATACTTGCATAACACGTGGTCCTACTGTAGTCGTCACATTAACCTTGAACAACGTTTCGATGCATTAGGACGCCTATTTTGCTATTAATAAAGCATTCTCATTATTTGAAACGAATTGGGGAAAAGGAGGAGGAATGGTGGAGAAGCAAATTAAGTTGTGGAGCAACTTTTTTAGAGCTTATAGCATCTTGATATGGTTCCTGAGTTAAATTTGTTCCATGTTGAAGAACATATCATGTGAGAAATGCGGGCTAATTGCTCTAATTGCTCGGGTGTACGAGTGGAAAATTTCGGGACTGTTTCATTCATTGAAGTATCCAGTACTTGACAGTGAAATCCAATCTTTCTTAATCTAAGTGCAATTTATTTTGATCCATGTTTCTCGAAGCTTAGAAAACTTTGATCTTCTTCAATTAACCGTTCTAGTTCTTGTTGTTCTCTGCTCAATGCTGTATAACGTTGACCATTTGGTTCGCCTCCACGTCTTGTTTCCCTTCTCTAAATTACTCGTCTTCTTCGAAATTTTTGAACAAAGAGTGTACCACGTTTCTTCTCTCTCCCTTAGCAATCATTCTTATTAGTCTTCCTTCATCATTAATGGCGATGTTTTAAGATTTTCTGTCGGCATTTCCTTCAAAGCACTCGAATTGTAGGTGACATGATCGTCGACGATATTTGTTGACTCTATGCACCACTTGATGATGGTGTCACTTTCGGAGGTGACAGTAAACATTGTCCGATCTGTTGTGGTGTTTAGCTTTGCGGCTACTTTTACACAATCGAATATAGGGAACGTTTCGTTACCCTTGGGCATTTACAAGAAGAAAGTTGGATTGCGAAGAGCTTTTTATTGTGGTATGGCTTAAACAGCTCAGTTACCATCGTCCTAGGTAACCACAGGATTCGTCCAAAGCTGTTCGCTTGGTAACCCGTAGTATAACTCCGGTATCACAGTGGTGGACTAATCAATAAGTAGTTATCAGCTGGCAAGTATTTGGAGCTAACGTGAAATGCAAATTTCCGTTCATTTGTTTGTGCAGAATAATTGATTATTCATGAATTCGTAGGTTTTCAATCACTAGCTAACCTCTAGTTCGCCATAAAACCAGGCTTGGTAATGTTGTAAGAGCAAATAGTAGTGGAAAATTCCCTTTCATCTCAGATGTGAAATGGATAATCTTTTATGGTTTCTAAGGCAAGCATCCACTACCCATATACTATCTGATTGCCTAAGTCCAATAAGTTGGATCGAGTTGTTGAAAGCTGAGTCAGTCAACGAATCAACAGCGAGTATGCTGTAATCAGCAATACTCGAAGAAAAGTACAAAAATGAAAGGGAACCATTCACATACACGTTTTGCCCAAGAGCGTTCAGTGTACGAGATTTCCAAAAACTTTTTCACCATTTTCTACTTAATGGCCTATCAGTTCATTTGGCGTGTAAAATCATGTTACCTATGAAAAGTACCGTGAGTCTTGAAGAAACATTTGGGAAAAAATTTAAGATCTAATTAGAAAACACAGTGAGTTACCGTAGAAAATAGAAATGAATTAGAAAATGAAATTTAAATGTGTGAAACAATTTAAGGTTTGAACTTTCTGAAGAGGTTGAAGACGTCGAAACATTTGCCAAATAGACCTTTTCATTAAGCTTCTAGCTCGTGTTGGCTTCATAGTCAAGAAGATGTGTAGAGAATCGTTTTGGTCGAAATCTACTGTGAAGTCTATTTTGATGAAGTTATCTATCTCTGAAGATCTCTATACTGTAGCTTAGCCACTCTAATTCTGTTGCAACCTCTCCATTTGTAAGCACTACCCGTCTCGACTTTCCTACTTGTTGGAATGAGTTGTATTAAATTTTGAGATCAATAAAACTGGAGCATATAATGTGATGTGAGTTAACGGCCCCGTCCGAGCAAGTGTTGCGCTCGACCGCCTGTCATCCTCAAAAACCTTATTGATGTGGATTTGCGATCGAGACGATGGCTAGACCAACTCTAATGAACACAACCTTCGTTAGTTCGGTGGACTGACTAAAGCTTGTTTTTTTATTTTCGCATTTACAAATATGTACTGGGAAAATCTGCCATAAAGGGGCGACGATTCTAAATGTGATCGAATAACGTAAAGGCGAACGCAGAATATTTATGAATAGAAAAAAACTTCTGCGAAACAATTCTGAATTTGAACGGACTTGTATAAGCAAGTAGCTATTGGTAAGGATTTGAGTAAAAACTAGAAATGAACTCCAATGGTTTGATGTCGATGGTTACTGCATAATGTCGGACTGGCAATGTTGGAGGCCTCCGAACGTGACCTGAATTTGGGACGTATAATTTGTGAAATGATCACAAGAATATCTCAAATTACTCTAGAAAAGCCGAAGTCTTATTTCTTTTCGAAGATGATGTTTTAGGAATGTTGTTGCGCTATACTTCTCGGCAGTTACTACGTCGTACCTTTCAGGAGTTTTTTTTTTGCTGTTAGTACTTTAAATGTTAAGATGGGGGCATGGTTTTCCATTGAAGCTTCTACGTTATCCCAAAAGTTGAGTTTCTTGGGATAAAGTAAGTCTTTCCATGAAGGAAATTATTGTGACTTCATGTCTTTGGCGAAGTTCATATACTGCGCAGTTATCGAATCACATAGCTTTTCAAAAGAGCCGAAGAATGTATCCGAATCATTTTTAGCAAAAAACAGTTTCGAGCAGCTTGTTCTCGCAGACATCCTTTTCTTCATGTTCAGCAGTAAATCATTCCAGTTGTGCTGAAGAAAAAAATTATTGGATTTCCTTCCAGAGTCGTCTTTTGGGCGCTTTTCTACCCCAACATCTCATATCAGCTGCTCGACTCCAGATCGCCACCAGCAATCCTCATATCTATGCCGAACACTATCTCCAGGTACGGATTCTCAATTGTGGAACCAAAAAGACTCATGAGAAACAAACAAAGCGATAAATTGTTAGGTGAAATTTTATGTATAACAATTGTTACGATGGAAACCAACATCTTTCATTTCTTTTCACGTTTCTCAAAGTATTTTCGCAAAAATTGGAACAAAATAACCAGTTTAACTTTGATTTACTGCCCATTTTTTATGGCAAGGTACGATGTGAAATATAACCAGATGGTTATTGAGATGTGTGCAAAACTCGTAACTTCAATTGGGTTTCGAACCCACAATTACGCGTTCCAACGGATCATGTGGTATCCACTATGCCAACCCAAGCTCCTGCTTTACCTTTCTCTCAGCCAGGTTTTTTTTACTGAGGTTCCGACTCTTGAACATATTCGAGCATCCTTGTGGTTGTATTTCACATAAAGCAAGAAATCTTTCAACATTGTGACAAATATGCGGGAAATAATTGATGACTAGGACTTATATCCGGTTGGACAATGTACGCAATTTTTATTTGCAAAATTAAAGCCCTAGTTTCCAAGGTTCTTTTTGTTCGGTTCGTTATTAGCTTCGAGTAGTGTAAATATACGGGAATGTTAGTTACAGAGCGAGAAAAATTGATGCCTTAGTCGTCTTTCTTTCTTCTTTTATTGGAATCTATTGCTGAAGTTTTATAAATATCCACCCATCTTCATAGGCTCTCCTAATCATTCGTGAATTATGAGGTCCTCATCATCATTGTCTTCATTAGTTGCTTGAAGATGCTGTTATCCGCCGTAAGCTGTAAGGTTACAGAAAGTTTGATTTTTCTAGGTTACCGTAGCGTATGCACGTCTGGTAGGTTTTGAGGCCGTTTTGTCTCAATGCTCATCATTAGATGCTGCAAGAGTCTTGAAGGTTTGTTAAAATCCAGAAGACAAGATTACACTCAATTAAAATCGATCGATGCTATTCCAGGAAGTCGAAAAACGTGTCGATAGATTGTGCAATTTAAATGGTTGCACGAAAGTGGCATCCGAAGGGATTACGGTATGTCACTTCACTATTTATCTTGCTGCAAAATTCCTATATTTTTAAACTCTTAAAATTGGATTTTTTAAATTAATTTCCCAGGTGGTTTCGTCGATTCCAATGCACGATGATTGTCATGCTTTAAACGTGGTTCGGTTCGCGCTACAACTTCAAGCATTGGTGAAGTGAGTTTTTCCTTCTAGCGGTTATTCTGTAAATTGCCAAGTTGTTTAAAGTTGTGTTTGCAACTGGAAATCTGGTAAAACAAAGTTTTTCTTGGTAGCAAAACCTTTGAGACATGTGGTAGTTTCAAAAGTGCCTATTTTGGACACCATGCTATCAACGTGTAGATGGGCTTTCAGTTCCTTTCGTGACGCTACCACAGCCGATGTAGCTGTTTGTGTAGGCATCGACAGTGGTTCGATATCCGCTGGCATTGTTGGTTCGACAAAATGGCACTATGACATAATCGGAGTTACCGTCGATAATGCGATTCTTTTGCAGAGCAACGCACCAGCCCAGTAAGTCGTTCAAAAGATTTCAAATTCTTAATTTCACGTAGATTTAGGTATTCTTTACTGGTAGAAGGAGTTATGCATACAGATATATGACAGTTTTTTCAAATGCCATGATGATAAGCGAAGTTACTCCACTGCGGGAATAAAAACCTTGTTTTCAACGACTAACTACATTTCTGAAGTCAGCGTAGACTCCAACTTGATAATCATCTCATGAATTAAGTTCTAAACAAGTCATTTTTAATCACTAGAGATAGGATGCAGATAGCTCAGCGGTGAAGATGTTGTTTATCACCAGCACGGTGTTGTTTCCACCACCTCCTGGGCTCACCAGGCCTTTTATCCCTCCGAAGTCGAGATTTTCGTACCAGACTTGTCTGGGATCCGATCATTTTGTGCAATCCAAATGATAGCGCTCTAAACCGTCACTGTGAAGACGGATCATGTAAGAAATCCAGAACAACAACTGCTTGGTTGGAGCAAAGCTGCAGTCAAAGTAGGGGAGGCAATTTGTAGTCCTCCTCACTCCTTCAATTAAAAATTAGCCCTCTTTCATAATGTTTAAGAACTTGTCATACTGTATCGAACCTATGATATCCATCGGTGTACACGATCTTTATCTACAAGCCATCGAATTCATTATTTTTTCATTGTAGTAGAAGCATTCGTTCAGTTGAATTGAACGCTTGGAAATCGTGCAGACAGGAATATTTTCATCTATACTATTTTTTACTAGTACTGTATAGATTAAAACACTGAAATGAGTCATTTGGTTGCGTTTGAGTGCATCTGAATGTTGGACTGAAACAGAGTATCGATTTTCGATTAAATCCTTATATTTCGTATTCTTACATGAGGTATGTTCGTATTTTAGTGGAGTGTTTCTGACTGAAGAAACTCGTCATCTCGTCGAGACTCATTTCACTCTCGAGCGTATCGGTGACATCTGGCGTGTTCATAGCAACTCCACTGGACCCGAACTATTTCCGGTTAACAAAAGGTATTAAATTCAACTAACAAAAGGTACTAATTCCAAAAGATTCTCGAAAACTCTTTAACTTTTCTTGTATGTACTAGGTAAGTCCTTGCCGAAATAGTTGTTCAATACCTTCATTTTTAAAGATTCTATGGAGTGTACTCTGTATGCACCCACATTTTGAGAAATTGACTAAAGACAAGTGAAAGTGATTCATGAACAGAAACAAATGAGACCTTTGTTTCCACTCGTTTATCATTATTAGGTTATTCGGAAAGCAAGGAAGGAGGAAACTTTTTTTCCGAATACGTTGGTTTCAAAAACTCCATCGTGGACAATTCGTCCTAAAAAAATGAGGAAGGTCGTGAGGTCATTCTGCTACTGACGATGATGAATTAGAGGCTTCGATGGAAGCAAATACACGCACAGCTGTTCGAATACTTGCAGAAAAACTCAATCTAAGCATCTCAACAGTCTCGGATCATCTAAATATTTAAAAACCGAAGAAGCTGTACAATTAGATGCCACACGAATTCAATGAGGTTGTGGTTTTGTGTGTTTTCTTCGGCGTTCTTTTTGTGCAACAAAACGTACCGTTTCTTTACCATACTATAGCGCTTGACAAGAAGTGGGTCCTCTAGGACAGTCGACGATCATTGGCTGAGTGGTTAGATCATGATAAAACTCCGCAACACTTTCTAGAGCCGAAACTGCGCCGAGAAAAGGTTATGCTGACTATTTGGTGGTCTGCCGCTGGTCTGATCCATCACAGCTTTCCGAATTGGCATTAAATGATTACGGAGACGATATACGTTCAGCAAATGGACGAAATGCAGCAGAAACATCAACGATTGTGTCCCTCATTGGTCCGTAGAAAGGGACCAATTCTGTTCTACGTTAACACTTACTCAAACTGCTCACTACCGACACTGCAAAGGTTGTTCAAACTGGTCTACGAAACTCTTCTCATAAACCATACTCGACGGACCTCATGTCTAGCGACCACCACTTCTTCGAGCATCTTGCCGAGTTGAGTGAACTATAAAGGCCGGAACTATCTTCAACAACTTCATCGCGTCTAGAATTCTACAATTTTTTTCAACCGGAGTAAGTAAACTTGCTTCTTATTAGGGAAGGTCCTTAGGTCCTTGTGGTTCAGATTATACTTTGATGAATGAAGTTTATTTTGAGCTGGGATATGCCGCTTTAAAGATGCGGGTTAGAACCTTGCAATGATTTCCAAACAGCCCCGATCACTGTTTATGATCACTACTACTTATTACTAATGATTATATCTTTCTACTTCTGTTCAGCAAGCACGAGGTGCTATTTTATTTCTTTATTTACGCACAAGCTGACGTTTCGGCGGATTTCGCCTTCCTCAGAGCCTGGAAGGGTCAACTTGACAGCAATCCACTCGGCCAAACACCTCCATAACCAAACAGAGAAAACTCTAAACCAAGATTTCAATCACATTTAGCATAGCTCTGCACACTCACCGCTTTCTATGAGTCTTCCACTGAGTATGTCGCGTGAAGACCGACCGCACCAAATTCACATGGAAGTGTAATGTGCTCCTCCCATCAGAATAACAGGTTTATATACTGTCCAATATCGCGCGTGATAACGAGGCATTCCTCTCTGCGGTTCATTTTCGGATTCTTGGAATTAATCCACAATGCTTCCAGAGTTTTGCGCGCTTGTGTTCTTGATTCTTGCGCGAGGATCGTTACCCTTACTTCAAAATCTCCATTATGTTTCTGCGTGCTATGCGTACCTAGTGGAGTACTTGGCTTACGTTTGCCGATTAGGTGTTCTTCTATACGTACGCAGAGTGGTCTACCCGTTTCGCCAACGTATTCGTTCCCACCGCTTTACAAGAGATCAGATAGACTGTACCCGAACTCATGCAGTCACCGTCTCTACCATTGGGACAAATTATGCAATTTTGCGTTGCACATAGACGGTCGTATAGGCGGTTACGAACTAGCTGGCGCCTTAGATTACTCGGTGGTATTTCGATTATCGTTACCGAATTCTCGAGACTGGCCCTTCTTAGACAGCGCTTTATAGCTGCACTTACTTCATTTGAAATGAAGGGCAGTATAAACGGGACCTTGTTGTCGCTAGAGTTATCGTTGGGGTGCCTGTGGTTTCCTCTACACCTATCTTGAGGTACGGTTTCGTAGCCATTAAAAATTATAAAAATTAAATTATTAAAATTAAAATAATTAATTATAATAATATATATTATATATATTATATATATTATATATTGCCTATTATATTATTATATTATTTTATTATTATATTATTATATTATATATATTATATTATTATATATACATATTATTTATTATTATATATATTATATTATATATTATTATATTATATATATTATATATATTATTATATTATATTACTATATTATATATATTATATATTATATTTTAATAATTGATTAATTCGTATGAAGTGCTGAGATATTTGCAAAACTCTGGACTACAGGTGAATGCAGTGGGGAACGAAGACGCGCTGTTGTCCTTACCGGGGAGCAGCGCACT